TGAGGAAATACAAATCCTCGGGCCCCATTGTCAGGAGCTTACTGTACTCCTGTCACCTATGACCTTGCACTCCAGTAATTTCCTAAAAACACGAGGTAGAGATCTACCAAGAGCACTTCTAAGGCGAAAAACTCCTGTCAGAAGTTTAGTGGAATTTTTTTCGTATTGCTTTTTTGGGGGGCCCACACTCAGAGGTGCTGCTCCTGGCTCGATGCTCAGGGGTTATTTCAGCTGTGCCTCCAACCAGGCCAGTCTCACAGAAAGCAAGCAGCTTACCTCCTATACTATCTCCCCTATGTACCCCCCTACCTCGTTGTTTCCTTTTCAATACTCTTTTATTTTTTAATGTCCTGAGGCTGGAGTGATAGGGTGCTTGCTTTGCATGCACTCAACCTCTGGCATCCCGTATGATCCCTGGAGCCCGCCAGGAGTGATCCCTAAGACGGAGCCAGGAGTAAACTCTGAGAACTGCCGAGGGTGGCCCAGAAACAGAGTTGAAAAATGCATGTCCTAGGTGTTGAATTTGTATTCCTAGAAAACACCAGCACAACCCTGGGAATGTGATACAGCTACAGGGGAATTTGCACGGCCTATAGTTGAGGTGCTCAATGGTGCCATCTAGTGGTAGAACCTCTATAGCTTGTGCTACTTTATTACCCCGTGCATTGATTATGTTCAGGCTGTTCAATTTTTAAAGTCCGTTTTAGGACTGGAGAGAGAGATAGTACAGGGAATAGGATGCGCTTGCCTTGCACACGTCTTACCCGGGTTTGATCGCAGGCACCACAGAGCCTGGAGTAAGCCCTGAGCAGAGTCAGGTGTGACCAAAAAAAAAAAACAACAACAACCTAAATGAATACATAAAAGTTTTATAGATTATCTTTAATGGAACTTCAAGTATAAGATATGCAACTTTTCATTTGATATAAATTTTTTAAAGCCTGGAAAGCTACCGGTGACGTATTCAATATGCCAAAAACAGTGACAGTAACAACAAGTCTTATAATTTGTTGTGAAATGTTATTGGTGCATGCTTGAGCAAATCGATGAACAACGGGAGGACAGTGCTATCGTGCAATGCATAAAGCTTTCCAGGAAAATTGTTAGGTGTTTAACCCAAACTCAAATCACAAAAGGAAAATATCTAAATTATTTATTAAAGTTAAAGCATATTCTTTATGCATCAAAGCGCACTGGAAAATTGAAAAGATGCCTCCAAATAGAAAAATAGTATCAAAAAGCCCCAAAATATATTTGAAAAATCTGTTTACATGGAGATAGAATTCATAAGATGAAGAACTTGAAACCAACAAAAAGATGAAGTAAAAAAATTTGTGAAGGACTTGAATAGACATTCCTCCAAAGAAAAGCATAAATGACTAACCAGCATGTGAAAAGACGTTCAGCATCATTAGTCATTAGAGAAATGGAAATTAAAACCTCAAAGGGATACCAATAGATTGACTTGAATAATTTTTTAAAAAAGAGAGAGAGAAAGAAACTATCAAATGTTAACAAAGATGCAGGAAAATTATACAGTGACACAGTAGGTGAATAGTGCAGTTGCTTTGGGAAAAAAATTGGTATTTCCTTAAATAGTCATAGAATTGCCATAGCAATCTATGAGCCCAGCAATCCCCTAGAAAGTATATACCCTAGAGAATTGGAATTGTTCAAACAAAAACATGTACACAATAGTTTATAGCAGCAGTACCCATAACACCTCAGAGTGGAAGTGACTCACATGTTCATCAGTTAATGAATGGACATATGTAGATGGCTCTCCAATAGATAAGAAGAAAGGAAGTGCTAATACACTGAGAAACCCTGAAAACAGGCCAGGCAACAGAAACTGGCACATAAGGTCAAATATTACATGCATCCGCTTGAAATGTTTAAAATCTATAGAAGGTAGGCAGTAGATTAGTGACTGCCAAAGGGAGAAAAAAAAAGTGAATGGCCAAATAATTGGTGTAGGATTTCTTTGGGGGTGACACAGTTGTCCTGGAGTGAGATAGTAGTGCTGGTTTCACAACAGGGCCAGGGTACTAAGCAGCCACTGAGTTGTCAGCTTTCACTGTCACTGTCACTGTCCTCCCGTTGTTCCATCGATTTGCTTGAGCGGGCCCAGTAACGTCTCCATTGTGACAGTTGTTACTGTGTTTGGCATATCGAATGCCGTGTAGGTGAGATACTCTTGGTAGCTTGCCAGACTCTCTGAGAGGGGCGGAGGAATCAAACTCGGGTCGGCCGTGTTGGCCACTTGCAAGGCAGACGCCCTATCCGCTGTGTTGTCACTCCAGCCCAGAGTTGTCAACTTTAAAATAGTTAAATTTGTATAAGACTTAATGATTCACAGCAAGGCAGCAACAAAGGTCCAAAGGTAACAATGGGAGAACTAATGGACACAATTTGAAGTCGGGGAGAGAAACCACTTATGCATGAGAAACCATTATTATCAGTATTGTAAAGCCCAGAATCTCAGTAAAAAAGAATTTTTAAATAAGTAAATACAAGTTAAATAGGTGATTTGTGTATGAATTTTATTTCAGTGTTTATCTCCTTTCATTATCTAGACTCCACAGTCTTTTATGATTATTTTATTATGAATATGTTTCCCATAATTGTTGCTAATGTGTACGTTCTATGTTTTTTTTTCTTCTTTCTTTGATTTTTCATTGGGGAGGTGGCTGGGCGCACCTGTCAGTGCTCAGGGCCTACTCCTGCCTCTGTGCTCAGGAGTCACTCCTGGAAGCTCATATGTGGTGCCAGGGATTGATCATGGGTTGGCCACATGGCCCTGTACTGTCTCTCCAACCCTGTTTTGCATTGTGTATGTGTGTGCTTTGGTTTTTTATTGTTTTTGTTTTGTTTGGGGACAGTGCCCATTAGTGCTGAGGGCTTACTCCTAGCTCTGCACTCACTCATTCCTAGCAGACTCAAGGACTCTTTGGGGCTCCAGACGTCATACCTGGGTCAGCACATGCAAGTCAAGCACCCACCCCCTGTACTATCTCTCTGGCTCCAGCTGTTCTTTTTTTTTTTTTAAATAATTTATTTATTTATTGAATCACTGTGGGAAAAGTTACAGAGCTTTCAGGTTTAGGTCTCGGTCATGTAAATATCAAACACATTTCCCTTTACCAATACTTATTTTTAACCGCGAACCCCAATAGAACCCCACCTCCCACCCCTCCCAGTTCCTGTGAGGCAGATGAGTTCTAGTTAACACTCTATCTACTTTGACTAGATTCATTGTTTCGATAAAAGATGCACCATTATTATTTAGAGTTTACGCGCCCCCCCCCCAAATCAGACATGCTGAAAAAGCGTTGTGAAATGATTTGCTTTCCACAGCTGGGTCCTAAGAATTAAATGATGGTTTTGGATTTCTGCTATTTTACTTATTAACCCTGGAAGTATTTCTATTAAAAGTTAGATAGTTAAGAGATTGGTTTCTGTGCTCTGGAGTCGTGGCCGTGCCGGAGAGCCGCTCGTGGGGGGCAACTGGTGGCCTCGGTAGGGCGTGAAGGACGGACCGGAACGCCCCCCTTCCCATGAGGTTTTAGTCGCCCCCACACCCCCGGCTCATACCTGCTGTCCACAAGGCTCCCGTGCAGCCGCCATCTTTCTTTCCAGAGAGCTGGCTCCAGCTGTTCTTAATTTGTTCCGTTTTGTTTGGGGGCCACACTTGGCTGTGCTCAGGGGTTACTCCTGGCAGTGCCTCGGGACCATGTGGGGTGCCAGGGATCAAGCCCAGAATAACCGCGTGCAAGGCAAGTGCTTACCCACTGTACCATCTCTCTGGCCCTGTTCCGCATTTTTAGCCCAAAATTTATTTGATATATACTTTGTCGTCTTCAGTTTTCTGTTTCTATTTTGGTGGTTGTATCTGTTTTACTCAGCAGGTAAAAGCGTAATCATTCTCAAATGATTAGTCATTTTCTCTTTTCCTTTTGAGAGCCTTCCTCTAAATGCTTAAACAATGAAAAGTTTAAAATCTCTTAATAGAGAAAAATAAACTCTTCATAGATATCACATTGCTGTTCCCCCCAAAAAAGGAATTTGACACTTTTGTTTTTTTAATTTTATTTTTACAAAGTTGTTCAATAATTTATTACATTCAATATCCCAACACCAATCCTATCACCATTATAACCTTCCCACTTCCATTATTTCCAATTTTCCCACTACCGCACAAGCCTGCCCCAAAGGCAGATCCTACATAATTTATTTTGTATTGCTTGTTATGAATAAACCACTAAAGAGGATCCAAAACAGTTTCCTTGGAAGACAGTGTGTGAAGATTGTTGTTTCTCACTCTGGAGACATGAAGGCCTTGTGTAAGACATCACTAACAGGTTGTTACAGGTTGAGCCTTATGTGGACACACCTTTAAAAAACACTTTCTACCTTGTTTTCCTAAATATCCTGAAGTAAGAGTATACTAGTGATATCCTATCACCAGTGGATAAGGAAGGAAAATGGGCGATTTGTGTTTGTTGTTGGCTCCTTTCGTGTCTCTTATTTCATTTAAGACTCACTCTTTGTCTGTTACAAAGTGATTACAGAAATTGATGCAGCTAATAACCAGACATGCAAAGATCATAGCCAACCATTATTTCCTCCAGTTTCATTCTATTCCCAACAAAGGATTTTACCTATTTTCAGTGGATTGAAATCAGTATTTTTTGTATTTACCTTCACATAGCAATACATATCCTTTATTCATTTTTGTTGTTGTTTTGGGGTCACACTTAGCTGTGGTCAGGGCTTACTCCAGGTTCTGCACTCAGGAATCACGCCTGGTGGTGCTCTGGGGACCATGTGGGATGCCGGGGATCCAGCTGGCGTCAGCCACATGCAAGGCAAATGCTACCTATTTGCTGTACTATCTCTCCGGCCCTATACATTTATTATTAATAAATATTTAACCTGGAACTTGCTCTGTAGACAGTAGGTCTTTGTGACATAATTTGTTCTCCTTTACTCTTTTATAGGTTCTTGATGGGAATGTATATGATCACCTCAAGGATTACTTAATAGCCTTCACCCGTACTGAGCTGGAGACATGCCAGGCTGTGCAGAACACATTCCAGTTTCTATTAGAAACCTCCAGCAAAGTAAGTTGCCTCTGATGAAATACGTGGTGTCACCCATTTTGGAATCTAAAATGTCTCTGCATACAAATAAAATGAAGGAACAGTAACAGTAGAAGAATGAGGGAATCTTTTTTTTTCCCTTTATTTTATTTTATTTTTTTTTACAGTTGTAGATTTACAATTTTTTGTGCTTTGGTTTCAATTAACAATGATCAGATACCCATCAAATGAGGGAATCTTAAGCTTTTATATAAAACATTTTACTGTAGTTTTGGTAACACACTTACAGTGATGTTAATGTCTATAGTTTTGATGTGGGAAGTTACTGCACCTTCATCTGCTTGGGCAGAATGCCCCGGACTCTCGACCACTGTCCCCATGTCTCCTACAGTCCACCTCCTTGTCCTCTCCCACAACGCGTGGTAATCTCAGTTTTGTACAGATGTTAAGCATTTGTCGTCCTTTGATACCATTTCCTTGTTTTTGTCTCTCTATATTATTGAGAGACTCAGGGGTTACTCCTGGCTCTGCACTCAGGAATCACTCCTGGCAGTGCTCAGGGGACCATATGGGATGCCAGGGATCAAACCTTGGTTGGCCGCGTGCAAGGCAGATGCCCTCCCCATTGTATTATCGCTCTGTCCCTGTGTTACTACTTTCTTTAGCTTGAAATCTGTTCTAGTGATACATGTATCGCCATCCCTGATTGGTTTTTATGTTTGTTTGGATTTGGGGCCATACCTGGTGGATTAAATTTAAGGATTACTTAAATTTAAATTATTTGACTATAAAGGATTAAGGCATTCACCTCAGGTTAGCTGCACCCTATCCGGCCACCTGGGACCACACCCTTCAGTGGGTTTAACCCGCCTCAAGACTCTTTTTGACTCAGCACACTGAAATACAAAGCTGAGTTGCGTTAAATCACACTCAGAAAGTAGCCCAGCATAAGCCTTTATGGGATAGGACTCTGTCCACTCAGGGAAGGAGCCTGTCCAGGTCTGGCCAAGAGTCCAGGCCCACTGACCTCAGGAGCGGCTGCCCCCCAGCTGGGTTGTGTTGGGTTCAGCAAGACGCAGGTCTGTTTCAACTCAGTGCGTGCCGACATGAAGCTGAAGTACTTAGCTTAACTCACAAGTCCTATTGCCCTTTCAGCCTGTTTCTCCTCCCCCGCACCCAGGGGATGTGCTCCTTAGTCTGAACCTGCCCTCAGTTCTGTGTCACACGGCTTTGGATCTCCCTAAGCCGTGAATTTTTCTCCAGGCCCTCTGTTCAGTTTTCATGCGTTCGTGGTGTTGATGCCGCACGGTGCTTGCAGAGGGATTGCTTTTCCGGCCGTCTTGGTCCTGCCCTGTCTCTCAAAGAATGTTTTCAAAGACAAGTTTCCTGGAAACAGTTTTCTTTCTAATGAAGCTAGAGGATTTTCTGTTCTCCTTGATCTCCTTGATAAGTTTGCATGAAAAGCAGAGAGAGAGAGAGAGATAATAGTCCAGGGTAACTCAGGATATTGGTTCATTGCCAGAGCCATCAAATCCATTCGGATTTCTTCTTTGAGAAAGTTTCTGTTCATTGGGATACTTTTTGCTCCCTTTAAACACTGTGGTTTACAAGGTTATTCATGATGCATTTGTTCATGCATTCAGTATTCCAACCTGTTGGCACGGTGGGAGCTGCTGGGGGCTTTGACAGCGCTGGGATTCCCCTCTCCCCACACACACACACACACACACACACACTTCCTAAGGGAGGTCCAGAATTCTCTGCCGGGAGCCCATGTACCCATGACTTTCTGTGCCTTGATGATCCGTTGATGAGATTTAATATAGAGTCTATGAAGCTGGACCAATAAATGAGCTTACCTGGCAGCGGTTATGGGATGTGGATCAGCCTGTATGTCATTTTTGAGAAGAATGGTTTTGAAAGAGTTTTCTTTCATCTCCCATGGAATTGGAACGTATTCCGTTTGAACCAGGGGTTGATGCGGTGATCTGTGATTGTGAAAGAGCAAGTGTGACACAAAGGGGAAAGTAGCATTTTATATAATCAATAGAGAAATGAATTCTGTGGGCTTTATTTTTTTAATTAACCCTACATTCATTATGTTGGCATTTCTGGGCAGTAACCTTTTCATGAAAAAACATTGAGACCCGTCTATTTTGCTGGCATGAACACTTTGTACAAAGAAGACAAGAAATGACAGCGCTTTTTCTTCTGGATGCCACAGATGAAACTTTTTCCCCAGTATAAGGAACTGCCCTTTAAAAGATAATTCGTTTCTGTGATTAGTAAATGTTACGTGTTTCCAGGCCAAATAAATGCCTTTATAAAAATGTCTTTCTTTTATAACTGCTGTTTCAGAAAGCTGCAGCAGTCAGATGCTCTATATTGGCAGGGAGATGGGAACCAGGCGATAGCTGAGGAATTGTTCAGAAAGGAATGACGTTCCCTCTCACGACGGCCCAGCGCTTGGACACGGGAGGAGCCATGCCCACTTCTCCTGAGAAGTGCTCAGTGCACTAGAGTCCAGCTCTGGTTTTTCTTTTGTTTTGGGTCTTTTATATGTTTTCAGAAAACCATTTTAAATGCTGGTAAAGAAATAGAAAGATTACTAACCTGGCGTTTTGAAGTCCTGTCATATTTCTGTGTCCTCGTATCTTTTGCCCTCAAGATTCAGAATAAAAGAATTAACATATGGAAGAGAGGATATGGGATAGTCACGTGATAGCAAGTGGAGTAAAAATTCTCATTGGCTGTCCAGGGAGGTAGAACGGGATTAAGGCACTTGTCCTGTCATCTTTATAAGGCCATCCCGGGCTCAGCTGAGGCACCCAGGTGTTCTCCCAAGCGACAAGAGTAGGACCTGAGTGAGAGTGGTGGGGGAGGGGGGTGGACAACAACAAACTCCTCCATTTTGGAGTGTCTTCAGTGCTGGGTAGATGGTGGTTTCGGTGAAATTCTTAATATATGCATGTTGGAAATTTTTCATGAGAGAATATTGGAGCGAGAGCAGTAATTCCATGGATGGGGCACTTGACTTACATGTAGTGGACCCAAGTTCGATCCCCAGTATCCCATATGGTTCCCAGCGCACCTCCAGGAGTGATCCCTGAGTGCAGAGCCAGCAGTAAGCCCTGAGCACTGACTGCCGGGTGTGGCCCAGAAACAGAAAACAAAAATAAAGCCTCTAAAATCAAGAAGTGATTGATTTATTAACTTATGCTTTCTTAGTCAATTCTCCCTTTTGTTCATGATATTTCGTGATTTTTTTAGTTTGTATAAACTTGGCTTACCCCTGTAGTTTTCTCCCTGTTTATTTATAATATTTGTGGTTTCTCTTATTTCCCGACTTACAGATTGTTTTTATTAATCTTTTCCAAGACCCAGTTTTTGTGCTTCTCAATGTTGCTTTAGTTCCTTAATTTCTGTCTGCATATTCATTATTTCTTCCTACTTTATAACATTTGTGTTTTTTTACTGGCTTTCCAGGTTCTTTTTCTGTTGGATCCTATACTTTAAGCATTCCTTATTTTCATGTAAATCAATTTAAGCCTTAAAAAAATGCCTCTTTCTGCCTTAAGTGCATTCTGTGACATACTGTGCTTTTTTGCTGTTTCTGCTGCTTTTTGCTCTTTCATTAACCCATGAATAATTTAAGCTTAAGTTTTTTGATTCCCAGTCATGGGTTCATATATGGGGCAATGTTTCTCATTCTAATTTTATTAGAAATTTCACTTTGTTTTATTGCACTCATTCCAGTTGAGGAGGTGGGGCGTCTCCTAAGCAGTGCTCAGGGGCCCTGGGGCATGGAGCTGGCCATCCAGTTCCACGCAAGGCCCTGAGGATGCGCTACTGCTCCGGCCCTGCAACTGCTTCGGCTTCTCACACTGCACCCAGAGAGGTGAGGGGGCGGGGTGGCCTTATGGTGCTGGGGATCAAACCCGGACAGGTGTGTGCCTCACATGTCCCTGGGTCTGCCCTCCAGCCTTTGTCTATTCCAATTTTATCAAAGAAGTTCACTTCATCTAGATCTTTGAAATATCGAGATTTTTCAAAGCTTTCAAAAAGCTAGATTTGATACAGTATTCACCTTATACGATGGGAAGTTGATAGTCTTTAAAAGTAGCTGCCATTTTGCACAGTATTTAACAGTCTTCTAGATGTTTGAACCCATCCTCCAAATCTGATACTACCAGGTTCATTTTGTTGAGAGAACTTCTGTGGTCTACCTGAATCCACACGCACACACACCCCCTGACCCTCTCCGTGCTCCACCACTAGACTCTTTTACCTTCTTATCATATATTCAGTTCGGGAAATGAATTTAAAATGTATAAATTGGTCTGGACTCTTAAAAACTTAAGTTTTTTTTTTTTCCCTTGCTTGCATTCACCTGAGTAACTTGCTCCTTGGGGATGAGAAATAAAGATCTCCTGAGATACTCTTCTGTGTAGCTCAGAGGAGTAGGAATCAAAGTTTAATAAGTGTGTTGGAACTAGATGTGCTCTTTGTTCCAGGTACCAGGAGAGCTCACACCTTGTGTGCCATATGCTTCTCTGTTACAAAGAACTGATGCTGCGGAGAGCAGTCTAGTGAGGTGATAAGTCAAAAGGAAGACTCAAAATCTAGATTTTAAGTTGTACACCATGTTTACTTTGCCTCTGTTGAAGGGGCTCATCACCCCACCCCTCAACACATGCATCTCTAAATTGTAACTGCATGTATTAAGGGAGGTCATTTATACCAACACAAAGTAAATAGTATGGTTCTCTCAGTCATATCCCCCAAGGGGAAAGACGCTTTTGTTTAATTATTTATGGAGCTTGCTTTGCTCCTTAATATTTTATAAAATGCTTTGTATATGTAACTGAAGCTGATATCATCACAGATAACTTTCTCTAGGATAATAAACCCAAAGGTAGTTCTGCTGGCCTTGTACTTTATGTCTGCTTGCTTTCTATATGCGTCTGAAAATTTCTGCCAGTGAGTAGCAAAACTCATTTTAATGTTTCAGAAGATTGCAG